GTGTTCTGAATGATGACCATTTTAGACAATTCTGCAACAAGCAAATTATATCCAGTGCCTGCACAGGAGGTTTTGTGCCTTATCTGTAGCAAAGCAGAAAGTAAAGTTGTGGAGGTCATGGTGGTGATGGGTGTGTTCATGCTTTTATAAACTGTAACCATGATCTTACCCTTACTTTAACCAAGTGTTTTGGTTCCCTAACTTAAACCATACATTAACCATAGTTTACTGTATTTGCCATAAGCATATTTCCTTATCCATCACCTTTGCCATGCACAGGTATTGTAAAAAGCCATAATGATTAAATTTGTCATCACAGGTTTATTATATTGAGGTACTTGTTTGGTGATAAGGTTGGCAAAATTGTCTGCTAAATTAATGTAATGTAATGTACTGTCTAACACTAATCATATCAGCTTAAAAAAGCTAAAAGCAACATCCTTCTGCATACTAACAGTGCGGAGAGTACAGTTTTCCATGAGGAAACCTATATGCAGTCTAGCAAGTAGAAAATATGCTGCCAAGGACAGATAATGTCTCTTAATATTGGATTTATGTTTGTAGAACTATTGAAAGTCCAGCGGTCACCTTGTTTGCCATGCATGATGCAGGTGCATGATTTTATCAGGAAAATGTCCTGTCCTTAAGATACAGTGTGCTACTAAGATAAATATATACCTGTGACTTAATTATTTCCACTGATATTAAGCAACAGACTGCATTTGGAGTATTAATTCCTCCAAAATGTAGCTTTAATATTTGTGGCAACTGTGGCTCAGAAGGACGGGGGTTTGGAACTATTCCTACAGGATGTCAGTCAAAACTGATGAATGTCTTAAAGGTTATTTAAAGGTCCTGTGTAACATTTCGTTATTCATAAGTATGTTTTCATTAGTGTATAATCACCTGAAAACAAGAATCATTGTGTTTTCATTACCTAAGAATCCTTTTCTACAGAGTCTGCCATGTTGAACCGCCGTGTTTCTACAGTAGCCCAGAATGGACAAACGAAATGCTGGCTCTAGATGATCCCTTTAGCATTTTTTGCACGTTTCACGGCCACTTTAGTCTGCCTACAGGCTTGGATGAGTAGGGTGAAGCGAGCGGTATTCAGTTGGTTGCAGTCTGCAACTTCACCGCT